CTATGACTCACTCTAGCACAAGTTCCTCCCCCAGTCTCTTGAAACCACGTTGACGTGCACACAGACGCATACTTAGAGCACACATCCAAAGCTCACTTCTTCAGCGGGCACTCACTTTCCACTTCCCGTACCCTTACAGGTTCTCTTTGCTGAGTCCCTCTCCTGTTCCCAATTTCTCAACTCTCGAAAGTTGTCCAAGGGTTGCATAAAAGACTGTTGTTCTGTGGGCTTAGACACTAAACACGGCTCACACTTTTGGGCATTATGTGCGCCTGCCCATGCACACACAGTCACATGCACGCATACAATAAATGGCAGAGCATAATACAAATGCGCCGTCCCATCAACTCTCTGGTCTAGGCAGTCCTTTCATGGTGTAAGGGCGTATGCGTTAGCATCAAAAGATGTCGTTTCAAATCCTACCTCTGTCATTTACTAGCTACCTAATCTTAGAGAAGTTAATTAAGGCTTGTGAAACACCTAGGACTGTGCTGAGAACCAAACAGGGAATGTTTGGTACCTCCTTTACTCTTATTTTCTATTTTAATTTAATTTTATTTTTCTTTATGAAAGGAGAGAGTCCTCCAAATCTCTCTCACAAAGCATATTATTCAGGGTTCTTAATTGCAAGTATCAGAAATCATCTCTGGCCAAAATACACAGAGAGGGAATTTATGGAAGGACATTGGGTGGTCCACAGAAATGCCAGGAAGGCTGGAGAACCAGGTGCAGAAAAATGGGCTGGAAAACAGAGAGATCTGTACATGCAAGACCACAGCCAAAATTGCACCTCAGAGCAATCTGGTGGCCTGACCTCTGTCCCAGCTGCTTCCGAACACTGGGTGCCCCAGAGTGAGAGGGTCCCTGGCCATGCCTGTGGCCTGGGCCAGTACCCCAGCTGGGGTGTTTGGGGAGGTTGTTCTAGATTCTGTGACCTCCATGGTTGGAAGTTTCTAAAAAATAATGATGTAGGCTGGCTAAGTCTGAGGACCCAGAGGGGGTCCCACAGGACGAGCTAAGAGGGTCCTTGGCTTTGTGCAGGATAGGATAGAAGTCAAACATGAGCGGAGAGGAAATGAGAACAGGGTTTACTGATGACAGAGAGAGTAGATACTGACAGAGCATCTGAGGGACTCGGAAAGGAAAAGGAGAATGAGTCTTGTTTTTGCTTGGGGTCTGAATATTTTATTGAGGGTTGTGGTCTGGTGTGCATGTCTTCTCATACATCCAGGAACCAGTCAAAACAGGATTAGTGCTTAGATGTCCTCCATAAGTTACTTATGCCCCAGAGCAGAAGTCTTGGCATCAAGATGTCTGGAGTTAGTGGTCTACATGACAACCACACCCAGTCACTCCATAGATGTGAAATATGGTGCAAGAAGTCTCCAAGGAAATCATTAACTCCTTGACCTGTACAAGGAGGACAGACATTATCTGTACTGTAAGACATGTGTAAGGTGGGGATGTGGGTCTTAGCAAGAAAAAAGGCAGGAAAAAGAGCAAAAATGCAGCCCTTCATCCGTCCTTCTAGTTTCCCTGTCTCGATAAGAGGGGAATTCAGATGTCAAGCAGTCGTAAAAGATCAGCATCCAGAGTCTTTTCTCACCATTTCTAATGGTCACCTCTCATCTCTGTTTCACATATAAATTCGCTCTCAAGTGTGTAGTTTTTCTCTCCAGGAACTCTCCTCACACCTAGAACTACTCTGTTTCTGAGACAATATTACACCTTTCTGCCTTGTCTCCTTTCTTTTCTCTCTCCAGAATTCCCGATCCTGCCCCCTTTCCACCGCCAATCCCTGTACAGTTCCAAATCTTCCCCAGGCTACAAATGCCACGGAAGATGTTACCATTTCTTTCTTGTGGTGCAGCACCCCATCCCTAGATTGCTCCTTCCATTGTGTTCTGAGGGTACTTTCTCTACGTCTCGATTATCACCTTTGCTCCATTTCACTACCAACATGTATTTAATGGCCTAAACTTCCTCCCTATCCTGGACAAGATGAAGCTCTCAAAGGGCAGGAGGTCTGCTTTATTTACATTGTAGCCTTGGTTCTTAGTACCTAGTAGATGCTTAAGACAGACTTGTCAACCAAAGCGTAAGTTTCTGCTCACTCGTCTCTTAATATGTCCATTCAGACTCCTTTCCTACATACATGTGACAGATGCTTTTAAAAATGGAAACAATCGGGGCGCCTGGGTGGCTCAGTGGGTTAAAGCCTCTGCCTTCGGCTCAGGTTGTGATCCCAGGGTCATGGGATGGAGCCCCACATCAGGCTCTCTGCCTGGTGGGGAGCCTGCTTCCTCCTCTCTCTCTGCCTGCCTCTCTGCCTACTTGTGATCTCTGTCTGTCAAATAAATAAATAAAATCTTTAAAAAAATGGAAACAAGCTCTTCAATAAATGGTGCTGGGAAAATTGGACGGCTATATGTAGAAGAATGAAACTCGACCATTCTCTTACACCATACACAAAGATGAACTCGAAATGGATAAAAGACCTCAACATGAGACAGGAATTCATCAGAATCATAGAGGAGAACATAGGCAGTAACCTCTTCGATATCAGCCACAGCAACTTCTTTCAAGATATGTCTCCAAAGGCAAAGGAAACAAAAACGAAAATGAACTTTTGGGACTTCATCAAGATCAAAATCTTCTGCACAGCCAAGGAAACAGTCAACAAAACAAAGAGGCAACCCATGGAATGGGAGAAGACGGTTCAGACGGTACAGACAAATGACGGTACAGACAAAAGGCTGATATCCAGGATCTATAAAGAACTTCTCAAACTTAACACACACAAAGCAGATAATCATGTCAAAAAAATGGGCAGAAGACATGAACAGACACTTCTCCAATGAAGACATACAAATGGCTGACAGACACATGAAAAAATGTTCATCATCACTAGCTATCATGGAGATTCAAACCAAAACTACATTGAGAGACCACCTTACACCAGTTAGAATGGCCAAAATTAACAAGACAGGGAACAATGTGTGTTGGAGAGGTTGTGGAGAAAGGGGAACCCTCTTACACTGTTGGTGGGAATGCAAGTTGGTACAGCCAACTTGGAGAACAGTGTAGAGATTCCTTAAGAAATTAAAAATAGAGCTTCCCTATGACCCTGCAAGTGCACCACTGGGTATTTACCCCCAAAGATATAGATGTAGTGAAAAGAAGGGCCATCTGTACCCCAATGTTCATAGCAGCAATGGTCGCCAAACTGTGGAAAGAACCAAGATGTCCTTCAACGGATGAATGGATAAGGAAGATGTGGTCCATATACACTATGGAGAATCATGCCTCCATCAGAAAGGATGAATACCCAACTTTTGTAGCAACATGGACGGGACTGGAAGAGATTATGCTGCGTGAAATAAGTCAAGCAGAGAGAGTCAATTATCATATGGTTTCACTTACTTGTGGAGCATAAGGAACAACACGGAGGATATAAGGAGATGGAGAGGAGAAGGGAGTTGAGGGAAATTGGAAGGGGAGGTGAACCATGAGAGACTATGGACTCTGAAAAACAATCTGAGGGCTTTGAAGGGGCAGAGGGGTGGGAAGTTGGGCCAGCCTGGTGGTGGGGATTAAGGAGGGCACGTATTGCATGGAGCACGGGGTGTGGTGCAAAAACAATGAATTCTAGTACACTGAAATTTTAAAAATTAAAAATTAAAAAAACAAAGGGAAACAATCCATGTGCATGCACCGTGCACACTGTAAAGTGTTGGCCACATGCATGGGATCCTAGCCAAAAGGCCGATCCATGATTAAGAGTCGGACACACTTAAGTGATAGACTTGTTTATTTCATTCGAGTTTTACATATTTTCTGTTAAAGAGCCACATGCCCTCACTATGCCTCACAGTGTTTCCACAGAAGGTCACAGCGCTGGTCTCCCTCCTACCTCTGAGCCTCTGGTGTCCTTGCATTGACAAGAAGGGAAGCAGCCGGGGCCATGGGGGGCCCAGCAGAAGCCAACACCTTTGCCCAGAGGACCTGCTAGGCGAAGTCCGGGGACAATTTATGCCAAGTCCCCACAGGTCCCCCTCTGGGTCTGTCTGTCCCTGTCCCTGTCCCGGTTCAGGCTGGCCACAGCCACCTGCGTTCATCCCTCCCCCTGCCAGAGGCCCCACTCCCTGGGTGCCAGGACGCTGGCCTCCCTGGGAGCAGACCCCGGGCTCCCCCCCCAGCCCGCTCGGCCGCCTCCCCCGCACCCTCCGCAGCGGCGTACTTTGTTCCCAGGCGCGACCTCGGGGCCGGCACGTGACCCAGAAACTTCGGAAGCCCCGGGGCGGCGGGCGGCGGGGAGGAGGAGGCGGCGGCCGAGCTCCCCCGCGCGGCAGGCTCTGCGGCCGGGAGGCGCTCGCCCCGCGCCGCGCTCACCCCGCGCCGCGCTCGCTGCCTGGGCGTGCGGGAGCCGCGCCGGGGAGCCGCGCCGCAGCCGGGAGCCGCGCCGCAGCCGGGAGCCGAGCGGAGCCGAGCCGGG